CACGCCCTCTGGCTGACAGTTTCGGTTTATGACGCCGCAAATTTTATTGCATCTCGTGCGTCATCCGTCGTGATCTTGCTTTATTCTAAACCAACAATGGGAAACCGGTGAGGGGGTGGATTTTTTATTTTAGTTGAAAGCATTGCAGTTAGCTTCAGCTTGAGACTTTGATTTGATTTGATTGCAAATCATGGGTGCGAGTTTGCAATTTTCAGTATAGTATAAGGGTACTAATTCAAATTATGAAATGTTCTACTAGAAGGATTTTTACACCAAAAAGTCACTAAAGTCACTATTTCCCTAAAAATAGTCACTAAAGTAATTTTTTCACTACTAAAATAGAGTGAAATTTAAAAGTATCAACAAAATGTTTAAATTGAGTACTTGGCACTAAGAAAGGCTACAAAAGTTTTAACAAAATATAGAGAAAAAGGTTGTAATATCGGCCTAAATGCCCCTAATTTGGGCCCATACATAAATTCAGCAATCGACTAAATTTTCAATAGAGACCAAACACATCCATTAGTACCGTCCCGATACCGTGTTCATCTAGATAAAATTGATAAATAGCAGATTTTTAGCGATGGGCCCAATCTTAAATCCATAGGCCAACATTAGATCCATTTCCCCTAACTGTTAAAAAAAATTGAAAATTTTAACCTGGGTGACCAGTGAACCGCAAAACTTTAGACCACCAGGAAAATTATTGGGAAATACCTTCAATTTCGATTAAAAATCGGGGAAAACATACCTCCTTTCCCATTAAATTAATTGTAAACCTTAGAAAGTTTCCAAAAGTATCTGTCTGCGATAGATTTTCAAAAGTCTTTCAAGGATGATTAAGAACTTTAAAAAATCCAAAGAAAATTTTAAGAGAATTTCAAAGGATTCTAGGGATGACACCAATATATATCAGAGAAGAATACCAAAGTACAGACTACGAAAGTCTCATGTAAAATTAAGTGCTCTGAGGACCGATTTCTTCATTTTCGCATAAATCTTAAACCAGGTTTACCTATATAGTTAAACTTGGCTTAACATATACGAGCGTCGCTTTTGATTATTGTTAAAACATTTAGAGACGCAAAATTCAGCTCCGAAACAATTTTGGAAATAATTCCAATATAATTGAGAGTTCTGAGAAGAATTCTATGATGATTGGATGAGGATTCTAGGTCCAATTCTTATAAGAATTCAAAATTAGTTCTAAAAGCAAGACTTAAAGAACTTCCATGAAAATTCCGTGAATTCCAAAGATGGTCTCTGTGGATAGTTCTAAAAAAAATTCTGGAGTGATTTCTGAAGATACTTCTAAGAGAATTCTAAAGAGCTCGAAATAAATTCCAAGAAGAATTCCAATGGAACCGAATTTTGAGGGTTCAATCTCAAAGGAATTCTGAGATGGATTTTTGTTTTGATACTTCTGAGGAAATACCATGGGAATTCTAAGGAGAATATGAAATGATTTTTTAATTGAATGCAGGGGAGATTATTCTCAGCAGAAATTTCTGAAATTTCTGAGAATTCAAATAAAATTAAAATGGATTTATGGAAGGAGCCTTCAAGAAGTCCCTAGAAGAATCAATAAAAAATCGAAAATAATCTATTTTAACTAATCATGTGTTATTAATCCTTGCGTCAATTTAACGATAAACATAGTCGAAGATGATTAACGTCAAACGTGGACTTAGAGTGGAGATTTTATACGATAGATGAGGAGATTCAATTATAGAGTTGATAGTTCCGTTAAAGTACGGCAGTGTGAAAATTGTATGTATATAGAAAGTAGAAAGCGAGCAAAGGACAATTTTGAGGACGGTACGAATCGGGTAGTTGTTTGCGTTAGATGGCGACTTGAGTGTGACACAATCGGTAGAACTGTTTCCGCACATCGGCGGTACATGATCAAATCAGCGATCATCGCTTTTACCAGGGGTGGCAGGGGAAACACCCCTCACCATCCCTCATTAACGGATGAGCTTGGCAAAGGAGACGCTCTACCCGATTCGTACCTTCCTCAAAATTGTCTTTTGTTCGCTTTCTACTTTCTACACGCAAACCAAAAATCTATTACAATAAATGTTAGTTCCGTTTCCTATCATCCTCTGTTCATGAACATCGCAACGAATGTTAGGAATTGACCATGCAAGCGATGTAATGGTTTTTTGCCTTTTTTTATTTCGTGTTAGCGTGGATATTTCGACGCACGTTGTAGAACATTGTAGAACGACGCACACACTTGCCTCGAATGCCTCTATTACAATGAATGTTAGTTCCGTAATGGTTTTTTGTCTTTTTCATTTCGTGTTCTATCTACGCTTTCGACTATACCAGTAAGTTTGTAGAACGACGCACATTGTAGAACATTGTAGAATGACGCACACACTTGTCTCGAATCTCTCTTGGAGAAAAAGCATACGAAGTCGAGCATTTTTATTTCGTGTTGCATGTACGCTTTCGACTATACCAGTAAGCTTGTAGAACGACGCACATTGTAGAACATTGTAGAACGACGCACACACTTATCTCGAATCTCTCCAGCAGAAAAAGCATACGAAGTCAAGCATGCGAGAAAATGAGCGCTTCATCTTTGCTTTTAGGCTATCCACATTCAAGAGCATGGAAAGTGCAGTGGAGAAAGCACAGGTCTGATAGTCGCAACGTCCGAGGTTCGAGTCCAGTCGGCAAATTTTTTCTATTTTTTTCGACATAATTAATTTTACTCACTAATACACTCTACATTTTTCGGTCTCCAATTTTCTTACATCGGACCGCAGCTACGTATATCGCATCCTCGGTTCATGCGGTCTCCACTTACATCCTCTGATGATGAATCCCACATAATTGTAAGCGAATCTTACATCCACCGGTTGGGTGTATATACAAATTTCACACTGTCATACTATAACGGAACTATCAACTCTTTACTTCCATCTCCTAATCTATCGAATAAAATGTCCGCTTAAATTATGATATTTGATGTTAAGCATTTCCATAATCTATTTCCAAGAATTTTGTTGATTGTTCTGCAAAGAATTTCAAGAATGTTAAAAGCTAAGAAGCTTAAGAGAAGGGGAATTATTCTAAAAAAGCTTTGAGATCATTCTGAAGAAATTCTGTGAAAAGCTCTTTGCGAATTATCAAAGTTATCAACCTAGATATACAAAAATTTGAAGATTTCGAACGCAGAATCAAATTCAAGATCATAAAAAGGGGGATTACTATTTGCTAGTCATCATGTATAACGTAGGCAAAAGTAAATTATTCAGATCACTTCAAATGCTCTTCACAGTAGATTCTGTTTGAAATTTGATTTTAAGTTCCATGACATAAAATGTTTATTTCAATATCAAACCCTTTTTTAATTTCACAGTTACCATACACGCAAACCAAAAATCTATTACAATGAATGTTAGTTCCAGTTCCTATCATCCTCTGTTAATGAACATCGCAACGAATGTTAGGAATTGACCATGCAGGCGATGTAATGGTTTTTTGTCTTTTTTTTATTTCGTGTTCCATCTACGCTTTCGACTATACCAGCAAGCTTGTAGAACGACGTACATTGTAGAACATTGTAGAACGACGCACACACTTGTCTCGAATCTCTCCAGCAGAAAAGCATACGAAGTCGAGCATTTTTATTTCGTGTTGCATCTACGCTTTCGACTATACCAGTAAGCTTGTAGAACGACGCACATTGTAGAACATTGTAGAACGACGCACACACTTATCTCGAATCTCTCCTGCAGAAAAAGCATACGAGGTCGAGCATGCGAGAAAATGAGCGCTTCATGTTTGCTATTAGGCTGCTCTTATTCAGAAGCATAGAGAGAGCAGTGGAGAAAGCACAGGTCTGATAGTCGCAACGTCCGTGGTTCGAGTCCAGTCGGCAACCTTTTTTTTCTATTTTTTTCGACATAATTAATTTCACTCACTAATACACTCCACATTTTTTGGTCTCCAATTTTCTTACATCGGACCGCAGCTAGGTATATCGCATCCTCGGTTCATGCGGTCTCCACTTACATCCTCTGATGATGAATCCCACATAATTGTAAGCGAATCTTACATCCACCGGTTGGGTGTATAAATGGTTACTTATTTAGTATTTACAAGTCACTATTTCGTCACTATTTTCGTAATTTTAGTCACTAAAGTCACTACTATTATATCGCATCAGCACTACCGACCCTGCTGATGGCCAGCAATCATAACCCCACTGCATGGATTTGATGAGCGATTCTTCAAATTTATGCATGACAAAAGTATTAAAGAAATATCTTTTTTGACATTATTCTCCATAGGAGTGATCAGCGAATCAGTGGAATCAAGCAATCATTTCTAAAAATCAATCCAAAAATAATTAGAAACTATCGATTTTTTTTTCTGTTTCATTACTTTCTTTGCACAATTGAAAACCGCCGGAAAATTGAAGCTTCACTTTAAAACCTATAGTTGCGTCTGTGTACGCTTACGATAACCTCAAAGAGGCCTCTACTGCACGCGTGGTAACAATGGCTGTGTACACATGTTCCTATCTATGAGTGGTGCAAATTTTCCAGCAGGCTGAATGCTTACGAGAGTGCAGAAAAATTGAAAGCGACACGCGTTCTAAATATTCTCTATCCTCGAATAGGCAGACGCAAGAGCAGCCAGAGCCATGTTCCTAAGGATTTTCCAACCGCTTCCGAAGAAGCTCCTCGATTTTTCCTTCAAAAGCGTCAGCATCATTGGCAGAGCATGAATGCCTAGAATATATTTTTTTCATCTGTCATGCTTCGTACCGGAAAGCAAAGCGAAGGAAGGAAGCTTATAAAAAACGTCGAAAACATGTTGGTTTTATTGCTTCTGCAGTGATAAGGGAATAAGGAAGGGAAATGTTTCTCCCGGTGTGAGCTTTCCTGCGACAGGATAATCGTAACGAACGGCTTGAAAGTAGATGCTATATGGGAAATTTTATTAAAATTTGCCTTCCTTTCTTTTGTTCAACATTTCAGCTAATGTCGCGACAACACTGGAGCAGCTGGGATCGATCATAACATCGGATTACGACGGCAATCCGCCCATCTACGTTACCAGAAGGCGTCAACCTGATGGAACCGAAGACATTTATGTCAACAATGCCAAAATCATTCGTAATCGGTCGAACGTTCAAATGTCCAATCAGCTCGGGAAAAAGCAGGTAATATATATTCTTATATTATTGAGGCTAATTTTTATGGATCAGTGATTCTCAGGGTAGTTCTAAAAATCTCTTAAAAAGATTGTACATGATACATGGAAAGAATACAACTCCCTTCTCCTCGATTAATCTTATCAAAAACAACCAAATCAAAACCACCGTCTTATCGAACTAAATTGCTTCTATGTTCACAACATCGTTGCTTATATCAACCGAAGCGCATAACTTTAACGACTCACAGCCCCCAAATCGGTTCTGCTGTTCAGTTTGCCGATCATAAAAAAGAACCTACGATGAATGCAAGCAAATATATTTATCGTTGTACTGAAGGGAAGCCATGAACCTCCTGTGTTGAGAGAACATATGTCAGAAATAATTTCTTCCCGTGTTATTCAAATAAATTCTTGGTCCTTTGAAAGAAACAAGAACAGGAACTCTTAAAGAATTCTCAAATAAAGAGAGGGGAAACTGTTGAGCGGTACTTCAGTTCTTTTAGTACTTATGTGTAATACGAGTTTTGGTGGCTCCTATTTCGGAGGGAATCTACTAAAGTTATGTGTTTATACAGAAGAATCAAGCAGAACGAAAGTAGGTTTAGGCGAATGTTGCAGTACAAACATTCATTTTGTTTTTAGTCAACATTCTCCAAGGAAAAAACAATGTGGTGTGGTAAGTGAATGTCTATCATGTACCCTGAAGTAGAAAAGAAAGTTTTTAGTGGCACAACGTAAGTTTTCTTGCAGCCGTCGGGGAAAATGTTGAAGCAAGATGAACAGGGTTAGGATCTGGAATGCTTCTATGGGTTAAGACAAAATGAAATGCTTCTATCAAAAATGACCTTTCCATAAATAATTAAATAATTACATTACAATTCGGTGCAAACAGTTTCAAATTCCATACAAACTTCATTGGATTTACGTCGGCATACCGTATCACATACACGAGGTCACCGCCGACGAGAATTAAACAGCTTCTATGCCGCCACCGCCATCGCCACTACCAATCAAATTACCGGCGCACAGATCTAATTTGTGTCTTAATAAATAAACTAATTAGTAAAAAAAATACACATCGCTAGTGTGTTAACTGACTTATACCGAATATACGTATTATTCGGGAAAGCACGAACTCGTCTATTTTTCCGTTTATTTTGCTATACCTAATAAAGACCTCCGTATACAAATAATTTCAGGTATGGTGCAACCATATCACATAAGGTTGAAAAGATGCTCCGGCACCTTTTTAAGGTTATTTTCTATGCGGGATGTTAAATGAGACGGATAAAACGCCATTCAACACAGTTGGGGCGCTGCTATAAAACAAATTCTACATCAAGTCATAATTCTAGGACGATTAAGGATCAGTTGAAAAGTGGTTCACCAGGTAAAAGTCATTATCGGGAAGCATGTTGTAGTTTCAAAGCTCGTGATGAATTTCCTGAGAGTGATGATCGACGAACGACTTAACTTCAGAAGCCACGCCGACTATTCCTTCGAAAAGGTGGCGAAGGTCATCGAGCAAATTGTTACAATCATTCCTAATAACTCAAGACCAAATAGTTGCAAGTGGCGTATACTAAAGGGTGTTACGATAAAAGTTATGTGAAACAATTCTGCGTGTAAATTGATTATATGTTTTATTTAAAAAATCAAACTATTTTTCTCTTATAAATTCAATTAGTGTAACATATTAACAGGACCGAATCTGGGCCTTTCGTTAAACTCCTGTCATCAGACTATGTATAGGCACCTCATCCACTCCATGGCCTTTTTCCGTAATAGCAGGATGCAACATCCAGCCAAAACAGCACGGAACAATCGTGTTGCTTCAGAAAATGCAGCAAACGTTTTTCCAGACACTCGTTCACGTAAATTTCCTGGTTGGTTCAAGCACAGGTACAGATACCCGACTAAAGTCCAGCATCAAAATGACAGCAAATTAAAATCAAGTTTTGATATCAACATGAAACTGAAATCGTAATTTGATTTCAGTTTTGCCATTCTTAAATTTGATACCAAATTTTGTTTTCATTTTGCTGTACATTTGCTCATCAAAAAAATGTTGTTGCGGGTTTGTTTTCATTGCCTTAGCATAACATCAAATTGAATACTTGTTTTGTTATCAACAGGAAAAATTTATATCAAATTTAGTTTACAGTTTGCTCTCACTGATAGCAGAAATAGTTTTCAATGTGATGTCACAGGAAGATTTTTTTGCTCTCAATTTTGATATTTTAACCGTTAAAACGACCAAAACGACAGCAACCTGAGTAATCATTTTCAGTGAAATCACAACATCAAATTTAGATTTCCATTTGATCTCAGACTTTGCTCGGGTAGCCTGCCCAAACCAGATATTTCTTAGCGAACTTCGACAGTTTAATATGGTTGAAAATGTCTGTCGCCTTTCCCCTTCCAGTTGCTCTATAAAACTCCTGCCCAGAAAGCTGTTCGAAGTCTGTCTTGACGGCCAAAACTGCGTGATAATGTTTGCACCATCATACATATATGGCTGATAAAGATAAAGTGAATACGGAGGTGTAAATCGGCATTCTTAGTAAGTATGTCCTTCCGTGGATAACTGAGCAATATGAATCGGCGCCGTGGACTTTCAGCTAGACGGGGCACCACGCCACACCTCGAACCGCACGCAGAATTGACTAAAGGGACAGCTGCCGTTCTGACCGAAATATATGTGGCCGCCATCCAACCCCGATCTTAACCCCTTGGATTATTTAGTGGCGAGCCATAAAGGCCAAGTCCTATGCCAAACACCACTCCAGGACAGCAAGCGTTAGACAAACATTGACCCGCGCCTTGAGAGATATGGATCTTTATTATCTATCGATGATTATCATCGGTTTAAGTACTTACAAACAATTCCCATTTGAATATATGATTTTTCCACTCCGAAAATTTTCCGATTTGTTTTTGTTTTCACCGTGTTTCATGGTGCAAACATTATCACCAAAACGGTAGGTTTCATCGTGCAAAATTTTGATGCGTTGCTCAATGGACAATTAAAAAATGATTTAGTTGGTTTCGAATTGACGAGCACAATTTGCCTGAATCATGCTTTCCTATAACGTTATCTAGAAAACTCTATCCATTTTCCGCAACGCGGTGTGAAATGTACCAAGCTTAATCATAGAGGAAAAGGAGAAGGTGTCAAATTAGAACCACAGCAAATTTGGCTTTACTCGAGTTGTTCGCAGATGACAGGCGTTGCAGTACTGTGGTTGCTCATCTTGTTTGAAAGTCATTTTGAAAACTGAAGAGCAAATATTAAAATCAAAACTAGGGGCACACACACCTACTAGGTAAATGAGGGGTGTTCAGGTTGATTAAATACTCAATTAAACGAAATGTTTCAAGTTTGAGTCGACTAAATTTTAATCATAACACCCTTTAGCTAGCGTTTCTTCATCGATGTTCACACGGAAACAAATCCGACTCCATTTTCATGAATAAAAAAATCATGAAATCTAAAAACTTGGCACCCCATGAAATCATAACAATGATACATAGGTTTCTCTTATACACCTTTTGCCTTCCTATTTATACAAGTACTCAAGTGGTCAAACTATGAGTTTAATGATCGTAAGGTTCTGGGTTCGAATCTAGTATGTTGCTTTATTTATTTTTTTTATATGTTTTGGTTTAAAAACTAAAAGTTAAAATCATGAATTTAGTTCATGATTTTAACTCGGATAATTCATGATTTCAGGAATCTTGGGTGCGTTACGCAAACATAGTTCATGACATCATGAATATTATTCATGGTGTATTTTCATAACATGAAAATACGCTATGTTCATGAAATCATGAGTCAATTTTCTCATTTCGGATTTTTTATTTATTCCCGTGTAGGTACGGTGGTTCACCAGAAATAACCTTCTTCTTCTTCTTCTTCTTCTTCTTCTTCTTCGTCTTCTTCTTCTTCTTCTTCTTCTTCTGCTTCTTCTTCTTCTTCTCATTATTCTTCTTCTTCTTCTTCTTCTTCTTCTTCTTCTTCTTCTTCTTCTTCTTCTTCTTCTTCTTCTTCTTCTTCTTCTTCTTCTTCTGCGCATTTCAAGCTAATTGCATATCGCATATTAGCTTATTGCGTGCTCGCAACTTAGTTTTCTAGATGCACTTGCACAGTTATTAATTTAGAGCTTTCGATGCCTGTACCATTTTTGCATTAGTATAATTGTGTGGCAAGTCCAATCATGCTTCTATGCCCAGGGAAGTCGAGAAATTTTCCAACCCAAAAAATTCCTAGACCGGACCGGGAATTGAACCCAGCCACCTCCAGCATGGTCTTGTTTTGTAGCTACGCCTTTGCCGGCTGAGCTAAGAGAGGCCCCAAATACCAGAAATAACCATTATGATCAAATGGCCTGATTTTGACAACCCTCTTTTTAAAAATCTTTTCAGATGTTCTAAGAAATCCATTCGGTTTTTCAGAGGTCTTATTGCACCAATTTACATATCATACGTAACAACACTTACATATTCATCTTTAAGATGAATGAGATAGATTAGACATTACAGTTATGTGAAGCTATTGTATGGTAAAAATCTTATGTGTGGAGGGGCTAACAAATTCGGGTCATTTCAGTATTACAATAAAATAACAATAGAATGCAATATATGCTGTTGGAGATAATTGACCCCATAGTAACTGCATCTCATTGTGACAGTTTTACACCACATACTGTGTTTTAAAAAAAATCAATAATAGAAAACCAATAAAATGTATTGTTGAGAGATCAACTTTGTCCTACAAAATTTCATTTTATATGGTAAGGATACTTAACAACTGCCCTCTTCTATTGTTAAAGTTTACGTTTCTTATTGTATTAAACAATAAGTTCTGTTGCACTTTTAATGTTTTAAACAATAAAATGTATGAAAGCAACAATAGATTTCATTGAAACCATAGTTCTATTGTTTTTGTTAGGTGTATTTTTGTTCAGGCAACCTGGGCTACTGCGCTAGCAAAATCAAACGAAGTTA